ATTATGCATTATTTTAGTGTAATTAATTTTGACTAATTACTGTCAATATTAACTTATTATCAATTCAGTTCTAAATTTGTTTCCTCAAACTATTTATTCTATAGCCAATATTATCTTTTTCTTTTTCATCTTATTAAGCAGTTTTGTAAACGATTGTATGTCTAATTTGTTGTAATGATATAACCAAACTTCTTAAAATTGCATAAATAATTGCTAATAACAATTTCAATATTTTTTTCAACTAATTAATTGGTCATGAAAATGAAAACTACATAATATATATTATTCGCAATATAGTGATTCATATGTAAGTTAAATAATTATATTTATATTTATTACTTTCAGTAATGATTACATTTATATAATATATAAGTATATAAATATAATTTATAATATTTTATTTATGCTTGTGTACTGAATTAAGTACTAATAAATATATAAAATGACTATTTCCATTATACTTAAAAATGGGTGGCCTAGGTCGTGTGTGTCTTTTGAGCCTTAAGAGAATTGTTATCAGTTATTCAATTTATCGAATTGCAAGTGCTTTCGTTTTTAAGAAGAAAATAAAAGGGAGAATATTATATAAGTCAATCTCTTCCACTTTCATGCACTAATTAATTAGGGTACTAATCAAATCAATTAATTGCGATAATCAATATAAGGTTTGAGGGGTGTCAAAAAAATCTAACTTTAAATTTTTGAAAATTTTATATATAGCCCATGTAATTTTTTGTTTAGCCTCATCTAATTTCGGGTTGGATATCTCAAGATTCAGGTCAAGTTTATTCATTTGACAACAATGGTGGATAAGTGATGATCGTAGTGAAAGGAAATGAGACAATCCTTTATTGTCAAATGACAATTATTCTCTTATTAAATTTTTATCAGTTGAGTTATAAGAGCATCTCCAATGCTCAAATGTTGTTGTGTTAAATTAAATTCTACATCATCACATTTAGTAATATCACAACTTTCAATCCTTCAATGCACAATGTGATCATAAATATTGTGGTGATGTAGACATATAAATATGGAGGGGTGTCGGTTGATATTTGATCCATACAAATTAATCATACTAAATTACTAAATCTACATATAAACTAGTATTTGATTATGTGTACATGCATAAATACAAATAAAATTTTATATGTTATATTTGTGCATATGTATATGGCATTTAAAATTAAAAATTAGATAATAAAAACATCACACTTTATAGATTTTATCATTAGTAAAAATGAATGATATGAATATAAACTATTTAACTTACATATTTATCTTTATATTGATCACAATAATATATTTTTTGCAATTTTGGCTGATTATAACAAATTAATTGAATAAATTAATATTAAAATTATTATTATAGCAATTGTGCACAAAATTTGTAGCTAACATAAAAACATGGTAATATTTCATGATGTTCTATTTTTCTTTTCTTTATTGCACCAAATTAAATTGACAAGGTTGTCTTCTCTTCCTTTGCTTTTATTTATTATTATTATTATTATTATTATTTTTTTTATGGGTGGAGTGGCGAAAAGGTTGTTAATTATACAATTATTAACGAATGAGAACCATTTGGTTAGTCAAAGAGTCCTCAATTTCAAAATTGTGATTAGTAGACTTCAAAATTAAAATACTGATAATTGTTAGATTAGATTGGCTTTGTTGCACCTCGTTTATTTCAAGAATGCATTGAAATCAAGTACATTGTTAAGAATCTAACTAAGTCCAAAAGCACCGCAATCATGCAACAATAATACAATATACATGTGTTAATTTCATTTACAAAGTCAATTAGTGTATCTAAGTCCGATTACTTGAAAGCGAGACAGGAGTCCTATCTATAGGGTTGCTGGCTAGAAATTAATATACTCTGATTGCTGGCTAGAAAAAGCGCAACAACACAAAACCCATTTTCTACACGTTCAAGCATGAACAAGACATGATTTGTAATCCACAATCTATATTTTTAGGCAAAAAATAAATAAAAGGACATTGAAAAATTAAATTTATCTTCCATATATTATCGAGGAAAAAAAGAGTTACCACCAAACTTGTAATTGAAAGATATGAAAGGGCCAGATTCGGTAGGTAAGAGTTCCCCCTCACAAATATATTGAAGTGTATCCAATCATTGTCAGATACTATATTAATTGCAGACAAAAGATTACTGTAATAATTAATTTTTTTGTGGAGTAAGCCAAAAAAACCGGTAATATTCAAAATTTATCATTCATGACTATCATCACTGAATTAAATCTGATATGGAACAAGTTGAAGACATTTTTGGTTGGCTAAGGATGAAATTAAAAACTGAAACTTGACAATCTGTATCTTAGGAATTTTGGATTGAATCCATTTTGTTGTTGATTGTTGTTCATGTAGTTAATTAGGTGCCGTACAAATCATTTTTTTTGTCTACAAATTTGAAATTAATTTGGATATTATTCAATGAATATCTAGAATCAGATCGGTCAATGCATTGGTCAAACTAGATATTTAGAATCAGCCGTTTTCTTGTCGGTTTTCAAAACTATATCTAATAACCACCATCAACGGCAGGTTTATTGGAAGATCTTAATTGACGTTGAGGCACAAAAAATTGTCGATCATTAAGGGCCCAAATTTTGCCGACAAAGTAATGCATTAAATGTTTTGATAAATCAGTAAATAATTAGAATAATGACGCTTGCTAAATTCCAACCCTTGCAACGTTTTGAAAGAACAAAGATACTTACCCAATAATTTAGGTCCCAATAATTGCCGGGAATTTATATAAGACTAGCATATATACTTCTTTTACTTTTGATTCCTAACTTAGTGAAATTATATTAAACTCCTCAATATTATCGAAATACATAAGAGCATCTCCAATGCTCAATGTTGTAGTGCCAAATTACATTCCACATCAACACATTTATTAATATCATAACTTTTCATCCTCCAATGTACAATGCGGTCACAAATATTGTGATGAAGTGGACATAATTAATATCTACAATGTAGAGAAGAATGTGGTTCATCCACATTCTCCTCCACACTCTAGCTAGCCAATGAAGAGAAGAGAGAGACTTGTTATTACCATTTTCAAACTATTTAATTATTTAATTAATTCTATTAATTCATATTAAAATTTTAATATTTGGTAAGTAGATAATATTGTAATTAGACTACATTATGCATTGAAGATGATTTTTTAATTTAATAGTTGTGAACTCAACATTTGTCCTACATGTATCACAATCTATTTCATTTTTTGACATTTGTCAAAATTTATCCTACAACAACATTAAAGCATTGGAGATGCTCTAAGGTTAAGGTTATTAACTGGCCACAATATACATCGAAGTATATTATTCCACTTATAAAAATATCAAATTCCAATAAATAAATACTTCAACAAAGTTTTTAATGGATAGTTCTCTGTAATTAATTTACGTTAAAATATTCAATTGAAATTCTAACAAAGATCAATGTTGAAATACTTCCGGTAAAATATTCAATTGAAATTCTAACAGAGATCAAAATTAAAATCTTCAATTGAAATTAAATTTCCTTTAAAATTCTAATTGAAATTTGATGATACAACAACACTTTTTTCCAATAATATATTGTTGTAAGATTTTTTTAAACGCAATTTTTTTTTTGGAGACTGGTTTTCTGCCAATAATTTCAACAATTGAAAATGATATTTTTTTGTTAGAATATTAATTTGTTTGAATTCTCTAACAAAAGTTATATCATAACAATATATATTAGAGTTACAATTGGAATTATATTTAAATTTATCCACATTGTTTTCCATTGAAAATTGAGGATTCTTTAAATGTAAGGGAAAATATTGATTTTATTTTGATTTTTACAAAAGAGCATGAAGAGCTTACCATAGCTCAACAATTTAATAATGAATCATAGAAAATAATATAAAGTAGGCGATGGAGTGCGGCATTGGAGTGTTTGGATTACTATAGCTCTACAATTTAAATGTGCACGTGGAGTGTTTGGATTCTTTCTTTTTAAATAAAAAGTGGGATTAATTTAGTGAAATATTACATGTGGATTTCGCTTTCTTTGGCTAAAAAAGGCTTTAATTTTGAAATACAGGTTTCAATAATAGACGTGGATTAATTAAGCAATTCAAATCTTGTATGGTCTATTAGTGGACGATGGTGGTTAACTGGATTTATATTCAACAATATAAAATTAAAAACTACGGTTGATATTATGTTCTAGAGATACAATAAGTGAAAAATTATTTTCTTCAGAGTTTGATGCAATATAGAAACTGGACTTCAATTTTACAATTAATCAATTAAAGCAAGCTACACAAGTAACGATCACAAATTGATTTTAATTTGAAATATCTTCTGAANAAAAAAAAAAAAAAAAAAAAGACCGTCCAAAACTCTCACTTGGCAGTACCTAGCTAAAGGACATGTATGCTAATTGTTACATCACAATTGTGTACTGAGCCGTTGGTGTACTGAATTTGAGCTCGAGTTTTTATAGAGTTGAACCAATCTCAATTCATTAAATAAATGAGTCGATAAACGAGTTCAGACTCGATTCGTTTACCAATGTTTAGAACTTGAACATAAGTATTAACGAGTCAAACCGAGTTTTAACGAGTCAACTTACAGAAATTTACATAAAAATTTCTATATTCGGGCTTCAACTACTTGACTCATATTAACTAAACGAGTTCAAACTCAACTCGTTTATCAGATAACCTGAATCGAGTCAAGCTCACGAACAACTTATTTTATTTAACAACTCTTAGATATATTTCTATGAATTTACCTTTGATGATGAAAATCTAATAGACGGCCAAAAAATAATTGCACATGACACTTTAATGAAATCTCAAAAAAGATATGGATCCCTATATACAAAACAGCAAATCTCAATGGACGTTGATAGCAACACTTGGCCATTTATTTACTTTTTTGGCTATAAAATGACTGCCGAATTGCAGTGCTTTGAGACAAACCAAATATTGCACATAAAGTTACATCCTTTGGAAAATGGCATTAATTAGTTTATTAGGACTTCAATTACCCATTAATTCATCAAATTGCCTACTTAATATTTCCGTTTTAACAATATTTTTTATCCTTGCTTTCAACTCATGCTCCGCCTTTAAACGTCCCAAGCATTTCAATTTATCCACGGCCGCCGTGCATTGGTCATCTGCAGGTGCCACGTGGTACGGCAGCCCAGATGGTGCCGGAAGTGACGGTATGCGTTCATTTTTAATTGATTTTTTAGTGATTATTTTTTAATTAGTTATAATAATATAAATAAATATATGACATTCAACAATATAAATATGTATTTGTGTTTGTAAAATATGATGTGTCTAACTCGTCTAGTGATGCTTAAAATTTATAGTGTTTAATATTATATTTTTCAGTTCAAATTAAATGTTTACTTGAAATGTATGTGAATTAATGTTGATCATTTATGTATATATGGTTTGCATGCAGGTGGATCATGTGGATATGGAAATCTTGTGTCACAAGCTCCATTTTCATCACTGGTCACTGGTATAGGACCATCACTCTATAAGTCTGGCAAAGAATGTGGAGCTTGCTACAAGGTATATTGGTATATTTTTCCACTTGATTATTAAAATGAAAACTATTATTTGATTTTTTTTTTTTCCATGCAAAATTATTTAAATTCCAAGGTTAGCCTACGATAAGTTTTGATACCGAAAATTGGAGCCTTTTTAGAGTAATATATGTAAGGATTAATTGCTAATTGGATTT